AAATGTCTTTTCTAAGAGCTAATTGAGGCTACTCAGTTCATGGAAAGCACAACAATGGGGGGCTCATGATCAAATAAGTTAACATTTGTAAAGCACAGTATCTGGCACATGGGAGGTGCTTAATGAATGCTTATGCCTTATCCTTCCTTTCAAAAGCTATGATGTTAGGAGTCACCACCTGTAGATAGCCCTTATAACCTGAATTAGCAGGCAGCCTTCTGGGAATCCAATCAGCCAGTGCCAATGAAAGTTGGGGAAGCAAGACAGAAGGCGTGCTATTTAAATGAAGTCATTATGTATCCTCTCTGAGCCTGAGTTTCCTAATTTGTAGAACAAAGGGGTTGGACTAGGCAGTCTCTAAGTTCTTTTCTTTTTTTAAAGTTTAATTTATTTTATTTTTAGTTTATGGAATAAAGCAAGCATTTCCATAACAGTATAATAAAAAGATAATTTCACATGAAACTGCAAATCTCTTGTGTACAAATTGCTATTCCCTCCAAATATACTAAAAAGTTATTTTGTAATTTTTTTTTGTTTTTATCCTTTTTTTCTTCCCTCCTACCCCCAGCCTCACCCTAAAGAAGGCTACCATTGTTCAAATTCTTTTTTTGGAGAGACATTTGGGGTTAAGTGACTTGCCTAGGGTCACACAGCTAATAAGTGTCAAGTGTCTGAGGTCAGATTTGAATTTAGGTCCTCCTGACTCCAGAGCTGGTGCTCTATCCAGCCACCTAGCTGACCCAAATAGATGTCACTTTTTTGGGGGGAAGGAGAGGCATTTGGGGTTAAGTGATTTGCTTAGAGTTACATAGCTAGTGAGTATCATGTGTCTGAGGCTGGATTTCAATGCAGGTCCTTCTGAGTTCAGGGCCGGTGCACTATCCACTGCGTCACCTAGCTGCCCAGCTTTGTCCAAATTCTGCCCTCTGAGCCCATCACCTCTTTACTAAGACGTGGGTAACATCATTGCTGTTTTGGAATCATGTTTGTTCATTGTGTTGAAAAGAGTTATTAAGTTTTTAAAAGTTATTTGTTTTTATAGTATTATTATTGTATAAATTATTATCTTTATTTTGTTCACTCTACATCTGTTCGTACACATTTTCACTGAAACCATTCTTTTCACCTTTTATTGTAAGCACAGTAACATTCCATTACAGTTATATACCATAATTTGTTTAACAATTTCCCTATTGATGAGCATCTCCTTACTTTATATAGTTTCTTGTTTTCTACAAAGCAAGAATTGCTGTACCTATTTTTGAACATATGGTCCTTTTCCTTTTTCTTGATGTCTTTGTATAGGCATTGTCATTGCTGGTCTAAAGAATATGTGCTGTTCAACTACTTCTTTTTTTTTTTTTAACATCCTTTGGATCTGAAAGGTAATGTCTTCTTTATTCCTAATTTGTTAATAGTGTCATCCTTTATGTCTAAGTCATTTGGAGCTTATCAAATGTTGGTCTATATTTTGTTTTTGCTAAATTATTTTGCAGTTTTTTCAGTATTTTTGATCAAATATTGAGTTCTTACCCCAGTAGACATAATTGTAGGGTTTATCAAAGACTAGGCTACTGTGTGCATTTGCTTCTATATGTTTTTGCCTACTCTGTTCCAGTGATCAACTTCTATTTCTTTCAGATTTGTCTGACTCTTCATGCCTTAATCTAGGGTTTTCTTGGCAAAGATACTGGAGTGATTTGCCATTTCCTTCTCTACCTCATTTTACAGATGAGAAAACTGAGACAAAGAGGGTTAAATGACTTGCCCAGGGTCACACAGCTAGTAAGTGTCTGAGGCCAGATTTGAACTCAGGAAGAGTCTTCCTGATTCCAGGCCCTACACTCTATCCACTATGCCATCTAGCTGCCACTTGCATTTCTTAACCAGTACCAAATCATTTGCTGTATTTCGTAACTAGTGCCAAAATCATTTTGATAATTGGTGCTTCATAGTATAATTTGAAATACAGTACTGTTAAAACTCCTTCATTTTCACTTTTGTTCATTATTTCTATAATCTTCTCTGGGCAACCCTGTGCTGCTAGAGTAGTTCTATTCTGGGCCTGGGGCCAGCTGAGTCCATAATCAGTTGTAGAGATTATACTATTAAGGCAGCCTTGTTCACAACCGCTGGAACTGAGCCTGAGATTCTGACCCACCCTTGCTACACAGTTCTTGCCCTGGTTACTTTCCTGTTGGTTGAATTTGTGAATCTTGAATTGGCATAAAGATCCACTGTGGTGTCTCCTTAGATTTCCTATTCACTCACTACTAGTACTCAATCTTCTTATTTGTTAAAATAATTTTGGGGCAGACTCATGATCGAAAATGCTGTCCATATCCAGAGAAAGAACTATGGAATCTGAATGCAGATCAAAGCATACTATTTCTACTTTTTTTGTTGTTGTTTCTTGGTTTTCTCCCTTTTGTTCTGTTTCTTCTTTCACAACAAGATTAATATGGAAATATATTTAATGTGATTGCACATATATAACCTATTATCAGATTGCTTGCCATCTTGGGGTAGGAAAAGGAGAAGAGAGAGGGAGAAAAATTTGGAGCTCAAAATCTTATTAAAAATGAATGTTGAAAGCTATCTTTACAAGTAATTGGAAAAATAAAATATTATTTGCAAAAAAAAATACTTTTGGGGGGAGCTAAACTATACTTTTTCCTTCTGTTCTGCTATCTTGATCTCTCTGAGTTGTCTTCTCACTCTAGATTTATGATCCTGTCATTCTATGAACCCCAAAAGATCAACTGTTAGTGAGTAATGGTAGTAGGAATGAGGTCTAGAGATAACAGGGGGTACTGAAAAGCATATGAACTTCTCTTTGTTGGGTGATGTAAGAAAATATCCATCTAGTTCACTTTGTGGCTAAAGATGTAGTGTCTTCTGAGGGGAGAGGGGAAAACAGGTTTCCATGAAGTAAAAATGGAAGGAGTGAGAGAGGATGAGATATAATGGAAAAGAAAAAAAAAAAGCAACAATATAATAGGCATATCAGAAAGCACAGTGGAAGGGGAGGTCAGACGAGGCATAGAACCAGGAGATGAGGTAGATGTAGGTAAGGAAATGGGGAGTAGAAGTTTTTCACTCCCTAGCCTCTGAGTCTGAATCATGGGGATTTAGAGAGGAAGAAAAGGTGAGAGTTTTCTAGCAGAAGACAGTGTCAGGAAATTTCTACAGCCATCTCAGAAAGCATTGGTGGCTGTGCTTCTAGGCCTTAGCTTGGCTATTGATTTTGTTTTCTCTTCCTGAAGGAAATTAAGGGCTCTGGTCACAGGCCAGTCCAGGTGGCCAAATATCAAGAAGACCTCAACAATCAACCCAGCAACTTCAACCAGCTCCCTTGGTGTTAGGGACCTCAGCAGTTCTGGAGGACTGATTTCCATGTTCTCCCTTGTCCCTAGGCCCAGCCATTTACTTAGATATTCCACCTCCTGAGTTAAGGGGAGACTATGGTCTTGGGTCTTGATGGTCAGGTCATTTGGGGGGAAGGGCCAATCCAGATGACCCAATGGTGATAGGGAAAAACTAAATTCCACAGCTCTGGAGTTTGTGGAGGGAGAAGGAAAGAAGATTGGACAAGCAGGGAAGACTAGGGCACCTATGCACAGTAGTTGGCTGCTGCCATTCTCCTTCAAAGTGGCTCATCAACATCATCAGCTTCCAGGCAGAATTCAGTTGCTCTTTGGTTAGCTGCTAGGACTCTTTGAGCTCTAGGTTGGGGGGTAGGGAGAGAGGAGAGGTCTACTCCATGTATTTTGTTCTGGGTTGTCAGGCTTTCTCATTGTGACTTGATTCAGGTCACCAGCATGGAGTTTGAAACCATGTGAATCAATAAAATTGCAAAAGGAAGAAAGTGTAGAGAGAAAAGAAAAACAGGTTAACTTTGTAATAACACCAAATGAGATGTTTATTTCAAAATTACAAAATTTTAAAAGTAACTAAAATTATATTCCTCTCATCACTAACTTTACAAAATAGAAATAAATATTTTAAAAAGCTTATGGATTATGACTAAGGCAATAAAATAAATGTGAAACTGAATGAGGCATGTTTCAGTGTTATCAAAGATATAATATTCATAAGGGGATGCCCATCAATTGGGGATCGGCTGAACAAGTTGTGGTATATGAAAATAATGGAATACTATTATGCTATAAGAAATGATGAGCAGGCGGACTTCAGAAAAACCTGGAAAGACTTGTATGGACCCATGCTGAGTGAAATGAGCAGAACCAGGAGAATATTGTACATAGTAACAGCCATGTTGTACAATGACTAACTTTGATAGACTTAGCTCTTCTCAGCAATGCAAGGATCTAAGACATTTCCAAAAGTCTCATGATGGAAAATGCTATCCATATCGAGAGAAAGAACTATGGGGTTAGAATGCAGATTGAAGCATCCTATTTGCTTTTTTTTTTCCTATTCTGTTTTGTTTTGTTTCTTCTTTCTTGCGGTTCCTCCTATTGGTTCTAAGTCTTCTTTACAACATGACTAATGTGAAAATATGCTTAATAGGAATTTATATAGACAGCCTATATAAGATTGCATGCCATCTTGGAGAGGGAGGTGGGGCAGAAGTGGAGAAAATTTAAAACACAAAAGCTTATGGAAAGTTGAAAACTAAAAATAAATTAATAAAAAAGAGAAAAAAATAAAAAAATAAGGGGCAGGGGAAAGGTAAAAAAAAGATATAATATTCATTTCAATTTAAATATAACAGAGAAACAAGTTAAGGACAAAACCTTGGGGAATACTCACACTTCAGTGATGGGAGAAATACAAAGAAAACTGAAAAGGTTGTTAGAGTGTTGTACCAGGTAAAAATGAAGAAGACTGAGATAAATTAGATTTGGGTTATGACTTTGATAACACCTATTTCAATAGAGTGGTAGGAACAGAAGTCAGATTGTAGGAAATTGAGGAGTGGGTGGTGCGGAAGTGAAGGTGTATAAGCTCATAGAAGTTCATGGAAGAATGCTTACCCTGGGCATGCATTGATGGATTCCAGTCTTCACTGATGAGCTCACAGATCTGCTGGAGGATTGGAGTGAATGAAAGTCATTAAAATTGGTGTCAGTGACTGTCTTTTAAAAAGTAGATAATGTTTTGGAATATATCTGAACTTTTTTTTCAACTTCTCAAACAATATGTTAGATATCTTTAGTGTAATGAACTGTGAATGCTGAGGAAAGCAGAAAATAAAAGTAAAATCGTGTTTATTATGAATTAGAAAAGTGGGGAAAGAATTTGCTGGGCCTGGAATCAGATTCCAGCTCTGCCACTTTCTCTCTGTGTGACTTTGGCAATTTATTTAGCCTAGCCTCTCTGTGCCTCAGTTTCCTAACCTGAAAATAAAGGATTGGATTAGATGACCTCTAGATGATCCCTTTCAACTGTAAGGCTGTTACCTGTTTTACCTCTGAATCCTTTCATCCTATGAAAAATTGCAGATATATTTCTTTGATAAGGTACCTTTATTCCTCTATTCTGTTTATGAGTATCATGTCTATAGGGCTATGTATATTCTTCCCAAATGCTGAGTTCAATTGGGGGGTGTTATTTCAACTGAGGTTGTAAAGAGCTTCTTGCTAGCTTTTTTTTCTCCAGTCCTTAAAGCCTGGCTGAAAGTACAATGTTTGCATCCAATGTGCAACATGGTTCCTAATCATGGCCAAGCAATTTTCATAAAACCTAGCTATCTCAAAGGTGGTAACAGAGGCTTGTGCTTTATTAGAATCCAACAATAGGAGAGAATTGTAATGGTAAAACTCCTTGCATTTTGATTGGCTTATATTTCATTTGAGAGAGAGTAATAATCATACCATTGTCATTACCAACAAGTGGGATGTGTTGTCATGGAAATGGTAAAGCACTATAATAATTAAAGCTTCAGTTAACTGACACACTAAATTGTGACTTAGAACACATTCTAAGTACTGTGTAATTAGGACACTGGTTCCACTAGAATAACACTTTTTACTATACTTTGATTCCCAGTAGGAAAGAATGTACAGCTGCACTATTATATTCAGAGGTATTCAAAAGCAATTACTGGTTTTATTGAAGAGGATTATTATATTACATCTAAAGATACTCTGAATTATAGAGGTAGTGTATCGTAGTGGATATTGATTCTTTTCCCCAGTATCTATGTGAACTTGAGCCAACGTTTACCCTCTTTAAACTATAGATTCCCTATCAGTGAACTGGGGACACTAGTACTTCAACTGCCTAATTCACAAGGTTATTTAGAATAAATCTCTTGTAAACTCATCACTGTAGAAATATGAACTTTTATAGGTGGTATGAGATGGCAAAATTCTGGGGGAAAGCAAGTTCTGAATAGGATATATATTTTCCCCTAGTTTTTATTTATAGCAATTATACAGTGACAAATATGGTCCTGATATGAGAGTAAACAGCTGATTTGGGATAGTTTGAAGTAATTTCCATAGTTTGGAGAAATGGAATAAGCCCTGGTTTTGTATACAAAGGACCGGGGTTTTAATCTCAGTTCTGCTGCTTAATGATCCAATGTATGCTCAAATTTTGGGTAACAGTTGTTCCAAGGAAATGCTACTACTTTATAAATTAAATGAACCCCAATAATCATATTTATAGGATGGATGTGATAAACTGGCAGACAAAACAAAGGTTATGTTAGGCAGCATAATAGCAGTTTTAACCACATTCAATTAAATTCATGAGTTGTGTAGGTGGTTTGGTTATGGATTAAGAGTTATAGACCCAGGAAGGAGCTATGGGACAAGAAGAGACTTTAAATATCATGTTGTTCAGTCCTACCCCTCACCCTAACCCATTTTATAGGGAATGAAGAGCCAATAATCAAACCCATATCCAGCATTTAGAGGCAGTGGGGATCTTAATGATCATTCAGTCCAGTTCCCTCATTTTACAGATTAGGAAATTAAGGGCAAGAAGCTTGCCTTTACACAGATGATCTGACTACTAGTGTTGATCTGCCTGAATCTGTTGTTCTTTCTTCTTTACCACAACTGCATATTAAAAATGAAGCTAGTTTTCTTTCAAGGCTTGTGGAATGATTTTTAAAAATCTCTTTAAATAGGGTTTTTGGATTTTGCATGCGTATAAAAATGGTGTTTTAGTCACCAGGTGTACATTACAAAATACCTCAAAAGGATAGTATATTATGTAAAGTTCATCCAATGTCATCTACTGTTCTTCCTCTCTACTCTTTGATACCTTCATAATGTATCATCATATCTGCTTTTCCCACCTCCTATTTTAGTTTATCCATGGGCTTATTTAGATCATTAGCACAACTTATTTCCCTCATCTATATAGGCATTTTCTAGGACTAGTTTTTTGTGGGTACTCTTTCCTTGCTATGATAATTTTTTTAAAAAAATTCCTTTTAGCCTGTTCTAGATACTGCATATGATGCTGGCCCTGAATCTCTGAGATAGGGTCAAAGTCAAGATCAAGGCCAAATTACAGAAATACACTCAGTTTTCATTTCAAAAATTTAATCTAGAATTTTAAATGTGTACCCGTTGAAATTCAGAATTTAAACAAAAAAATTTTTATAAATTTACCCCCCCCCTTTATTTTTTTTTTTTGGTTTTTTGGCTAGGCAATGGGGTTAAGTGACTTGCCCAGGGTCACACAGCTAGTAAGTGTTATGTGTCTGAGGCCAGATTTGAACTCAGGTCCTTCTGAATTCAGGGCCGGTGCTCTATCCACTGCACCACCTAGCTGCCCCTTTTGGTTTGTTTTTGCTAGGCAATGGGGTTAAGTGACTTGCCCAGGGTCACATAGCTAGTAAGTGTCAAGTGTCTGGTCTGAGATCAGATTTGAACTCAGGTTCTCCAAACTCTAGGGCCAGTGCTCTGTCCACTGTGCCACCTAGCTGCCCCCAAATTTACCCTTTTATCATTTTTAGAACACACTAGGAAATGATTCTTCAATTGATCTGGAAATAAAGGAGTACTCTTCCTTTAAAACAGTTACGTTCTAGACACATGTCCAAAATATGTTCAAAAGTAGTGATTATTTAATATTTCTGGTTTGTGAGCAACAAAATGGCAGATCTGCTAGATCTCTACTAATCACTTCAACAATGTAACAACATTGTAACCTCGAAATAAAGTCAGTAGGGGCCAAATGCAGAATGCTTAGATCTAAATCTTTGAGCTAAAGACAAGGGTAAGGTCTTTATCTTACGAATTAACATAAAAAAACTTCAATACTTAGAGTCTTCCTTCCCATTCCCCTTCATGCCCTGAAGCAGAAGATAAGTCTCAGGATTATGCCATCCTGCTCTAGTATACAAACCCCTACTGAGCAGAGACTGACTACCCAGTCACATGAAGAACAGGAGAACAGAATAAACTGGGTACCCTGAAAATGTACAGATGACAGCCAGCTGCTTCCAGCCGGAGGGAAAGAAGATAGGAAACTGCTGTAACCAGTCTGTAATCATGCAGATTACTGAAGGCATAAATCCCTCCCTTGTAGCTGAATCTTCCACATACCTCCCACTTTGCAACAAAGGGTGACTTTACTTAAACATATAAAGAAAAGGAGGACAGGATAGAAGGAGATATGAGGTGGATGGACAATGTCCAGGGTAGATGGCTGTTTGGGGCCTAAAGGAAAAGCACCTAGGGATCCAGTTGAAACTCTGCCCTAATAACTCCTCCTCCTTTCATGACACAAGAAACAGAAGACTTGTACTCTGGTTAGCCACATGAAGTTGAAAAAAAAAAAGAGGGAATGCAGTGGGATGTGTGTGCTAAAAATAGATCTGCATAAACGTAATTGCTTTGGGCCTGACTTTAAACTGAGCTGGGACCAGGCTGACAGAGGTTGCTGAGGGCAGGGATCCAAAACAAAGAACCTTATACCCCCCATCTGAGGAGACTGACCAGGAGGGGTCAAAGATACAAAGAACACGGCAAGGAATATGAGACAAAAAGCCTAAACATCAAAGATATAAAAAGAAAAAATTAATAAAATCTTTGGCATTCCTAAAAATCAGAAGGAAAAATGAGCAAAACCAAAATATGATTAGTAGATAGTATATGAAGTAAAGTGAACCAGTAGTCCCTGATGAAGGACAGAATTTTATGAAAACCCAGATCTTGGTAAAAAGTAAATGAATAAACCACAGAATGGCTCAAAAGAAATAAAATTCATAAAGGAAGAAATTAGGAATGAATTTAGCTAAGTAATTCAGAACTGTCAATACACAAAATAGAGTGTTCAATTCAATCACGATCAGCAGACTAGGAAAAATGGAATCCATTTCAGAGAATATCTAAAGAAAGAATAATGTTTTTGGAGCGCAAACATACTGAAGTGGAAGGAAATTTGATAAAAGATAGAAGAAAAAGGCAGTAGCATTCAAAGAAAAAAACCTCTATACCATGCAGAGTTACTGACCTTGAAGATAGGATATTTAGTGTTAACTTAAGAATCATAGCTCTCTCAGAAGAACACTACAAATTTAAAAATAAGGCAAAAATAATACAAGAAAATGTCTAGAATTTCTGAATACAAGGAGATGGGAAGAGGAAGGGAAGAAGGATTTATTATATATGATATAAGCATTAAAGTATTGACCAAAAATCCTATAGATTGCCATTAGGGAAAACAAAGGGTACTTCAAACTCCAATACAAATAGAGGTCAAATGTAACAATTTCAATATCTCTTCTACCAAGAAAGAAATTCAGACACCCAGAAAAAGACCCTCAAATATGAAAGAAAGGTAATTTGAATACAAGAATATCAGAGAATAGAATAAAAAAAATAAGTACAATAAAGTTATTTCTTTATATTTCTGTATATATGTAGAATAAGTATAATATAAATATAAATAAATATAAATATATATTAGATGTATATGTACATAATACATATGTGTGTGTATATTATATATATGTATATATATGTATATATATACATATATATACATATATATATATATATATATATAGAGAGAGAGAGAGAGAGAGAGAGAGAGAGAGAGAGAGAGAGAAAAGAACTAGATT